TGGCATGCACCTGTAGTCCCAGCTAGTCAGGAGGCTGAGGCAGGGGAATCGCTTTAACCTGGGAGGCGGAGGTTGCAGTGAGCCAAGATCACGCCATTGCAGCACTCCAGCCTGGCAACAGAGCAAGACTCTAAAGGAAAAAAGAAAGAAAGAAAAAACGTATGTTAACAGATTCAAATACGAACAAGACCAGTTACTGCCCCCAAAAGTCAATCTACTTGCCAGAAATCTACAACAGTACTGTGGAATTATGGAAACAACTCAAAACAAGGTGGCATAATAACAAAGGCAAAGGTGTTGGGGTCAGGTCGACCAACACCAGCCCGTAGTTCTAAACCCCAACTATATCATGCTTTCCTTGCCCTGTGCCCCGGACCTGCACTTAAGCTGACTCTAGATTCCTCACTTGTAACAGAGATGACACATCTCAGAATAGCTGTGAAAAATCATAAATAAAACATGACAAGTTTATAGGACTATACCTAGCATGAATGTTTATTGTATAAATGGTCACTAATGTCTTGTTACACCTGTTTATATAGGCCCAGTGATAAGTTTTATACATTTATAATTAAATGTTAGTGGTGTGAACCCCCAAAATTTAAGACAGGTCTCAGCTAATTTAGAAAGTTTATTTTGCCAAAGTTGAAGATGCACACCCTTCAAACAGCCTGAAGAAGTCCTAATGACAGGTGCCCAAGGTGGTCAGAGTACAGCTTGGTTTCATACATTTTAGGGAGACCTGAGACTTCAATCAATATATGTAAAATGAACACTGGTTCAGTCTGGAAAGGCAGGACCACTCGAAATGGGGAGGGGACTTCCAGGTCACAGGTAGGTGTGAGATAAATGGTTGCATTCTTCTGAGTTTCTGATTAGCCTTTCCAAAGGAGTCAATCAGGTATGCATTTATCTAGTGAGCAGAGGGATGACTTTGAATAGAATGAGAGGCAGGTTTGTCCTAAGTAGTTCGCAGCTTGAATTTCCCTTTTAGCTTACTGATTTTGGGGCCCAAGATATTTTCCTTTCACAGTGGAATGACTTAAGTTTGCCTTTTCCTTCTTTATTTAGGAAATTAGGATGATAAAATGTAATCAGCAATTTAAAAATGGGGCTGAGGGAGGGCTGAAGGATGAGTCACAAATTTCTGGCTTGAGTGACATGGTAGAAAGTAGTGCCAATGACCAAAATGGGAAAAGCAGACAAGCATAGGGTGAGTGGTTTGGAGTAGGGAGCAGGAAACAGGCAATAATTAGGGGGAAATGAGTTCAGTTTGGATATCCTGAGTTAAAAGTACCTATGAGTCATCCAAGCAGAAATGTCCAACAGATTGTCTGAGAGGAGAATGAACTCAGAGAGACTTGGGGGTCTGTTGAAGTGTGGAGAGCAGCTGAAGCCACAGAATTATTGAGGTTTCCCCCAAAAAGGCTGAGCAGACTAAAAGACAACCACCAAGTATGAAGCAGGAACATACAAGGGCAGACACAGCAGGACCTAAGAAGAAATTAAAGAAGCCAAAACAAAGCAGTCGAGAATGGTGCAAAGGGGCTGGGCACAGTGGCTCATGCCTGTAATCCCAGCATTTTAGGGAGGCCAAGGCAGGTGGATCACTTGAATTTAGGAGTTCGAGACCAGCATGGGTAACATGGTAAAACCCTGTCTCTACAAAAAATACAAAAAAAATTAGCCGGGCATGGTGGCTTGTGCCTGTACTCCCAGCTATTTGAGAGTCCGAGGTGGGAGGATCGTTTAAGGCCAGGAGGTGGAGGTTGCAGTGAGCCGAGATGGCACCACTGCACTCCAGCATGGTTGACAGAGCCAGACCCCGTCTCAAAAAAGAGTGGTACACAGGAACCCAGAAGAGAAAGCTTTGATGAGTATTGATGAGTAGTATCAAATACTACAGAAAAGTGGTATCAAGGGCTAACAAGTCACAACAGTGTTCAATGATCAGAGGCCATTTGGGACATGGACAAAGGCAGTTTCTATTGAGGCCAAGGAAATCAGGAGATCAGCCATCTGTAGGGTCAGTCCCTCCTAAATGGTAAAATTCTTTAGCTTCAAAACTGAAACTTACCATTCTCCCTCAAACCGACCAAATTAATGAAACATCAAATAGCAACAGGTTGCAAGGTTTTCTTTCACAGAAAAGGAATTTGCAAAAGAGATGCAGTCTAAAACCACAAAACCGTTTAACATGATCTTTGCTGTTAAGTTCCCATCTACTTTCTAAAGCTGCTCCCAGGGAAGGAAAAAAATTAGTGAATTCTCTGCCAAACAAAAACTGCAGGGGGAAAAAACATAACTTTCTAAATAAATTTCCTTTCTGATAAATCTCTAAGGGCAATACACTTAAATTGCTATTTCAATGTTACTTTGAGAAATGTGTTACCACGGGAAGACAGGTTTGGTTTCAATAGGCAAATCTCTTATATAATTCCATTTAAGCAGATTTCTACCTGGATTTCTCAATAAGCCTAAACTCCGGCTGAATTTAGTAAATTGCTCTTCCATGTCATTTTTCTTGTTCTTTGTAGTGTTAGAATCATAGAAAATGCTGTCCCATGCAATTTTAAGTTAAAATTATAAAATGGTTTTACGATATAAATTACGGCACAAGGGAATGTTTGGGCTGGCAGTGTCAACTGGTTAAACAGGTCAGTGGAGCTCAAAACATTTCCCCTAAACATCTGCTCAGGCTAAGAGGTTTTTAAGTTTACTTCCCATACAAATATTTTTCAAAAGTTAAATATCTCAAATATTAATAACTACTATAGAATTATCATTAATACATAGCAAAAAATTTGAGGATCTGACACTTCTGAAATATGTTCCCCTAAAACTACTACTCACGCTTTGTACGCGTCACTGAATTTAAGCAGGCAATCTCTCCCGATGTTCTGGTAACTAATTTTATGTATCCTTCAAACTCTTTATCATATGTGGCTATCTTATCTATTTATTTATGAGACAGAGTCTCACTCTGTCATCCAGGCTGGAGCGCAGTGGTGCAATCTTGGCTCACTGCAAGCTCCGCTTCCTGAGTTCAAGTGATTCTCATGCCTCAGCCTCCCGAGTGGCTGGGACTACAGGCGTGTGCCACCATGCCCGGCTAATTGTTTTTTGTGTTTGTTTTTTTTTTGTATTTTTAGTACAGATAGGGTTTCGTCATGTTGCCCAGGCTGGTCTTGAACTCCTGAGCTCAGGCAATCCCCCCACCTCAGCCTCCCAATGTGCTGGGATTACAGGCATGAGCCATCGTGCCTGGCCCATATGCGGCTATCTTACTTCATGATATACATATACTATCACCTCTTGTGGAGCTTTAAAACAACATCATCAACGTAGCAGGGACTGCTCCTTCCCCAAATTCTAGTTCAACATACCTCAGGTGAGTCCCAGCATTCCTAATTTTTAAAACTTCACAAGAATTGTGATATGCACTCTGCTGCCCTGCCCCTGTGGAGACACTCTACCTTTTGGCAGGATCCCCCAAAGTTCTGGGGAGCAACGTGGCCACTGCATTCCTCATGGATAGCAGGGTATGACAGAAGAAGTAAGTGCAGAAAATGAAATCCTGCTGGCAAGTCACACAAAACAGATGGCAGAGTACACAGGCACATCTCATAGACATTTCAAGAACTCACAGCAATTTGGAAGCTCCTTTAACCTTGACCCCCAACCCCTTGGAGCAGTATTTCCAACACCCACAGAGAAGGGAGCCTGGTCAGTTTCTTCAACGCCCCCACTCAGGCATTTAGTCCTGGATGTCTTGGAGACTCCTGTTCACTGCCTCCTCTGTGCATGGCTGAGCATAAATAGCCACAGTCTTCCAAGCTGTGCTCATTTAAGATGGGATTAGAGACACCATTCTCAACCAATTCTCTTTCTTAAAGGAGGGAATATCTGAGTCCTACTTACATGCTACTCACTGGAGACAGAATGCAAATAAAAAGATGACTTGAACAAAGATCGTATACATTAGGAGCCTCCAGCCTCACCAAACCTCTTGAAATCGTTTTGAGACAGGGTCTCGTGCTGTCACCTAAGCTGGAGAACAGTGGCACCATCAGAGCTCACTGCAGCCTCAATCTCCTGGGCTTAAGTGATCTTCCTGCCTCAGCCTCCCATGTAGCTGGTACTACAGTTGCTGGCCACCATAACCCAGCCATTTTTTTGCTTTGTTTGGTAGAGATGAGGTCTGTGTTGCCCAGGCTGGCCTCAAGTGATCCTCCCACCTCAACCTCCCAAAGTGCTGGGATTAAAGGCATGAGCCATCATTCCTGGCATTAACATAGGTATTTCTGTTTCACAAGTTACACATAAGACTACAGTACAGGAAAACCTCAGCACACGGTTAGCAAGCCACACAACTAGAAGATCTTCCTTGAAACCCAGGGGAAGAAGAGGGATGAAAACACAAATAAGTTAACGGGACAGTCTGTAGAACAGGCACGAGGCAGAACCGATGCCAGCTGTAACTGACGTGACCCCAAAAAGCCAATCTATGGAGAGCATTTGAGGTAAGGCAGCCTGTAAATGCTCCCTTATTTTTCTGTCTTCCAGGAGCTATAAGGAGCCTTGTCATTAAACTTTACAAAGTGTTTCATGGGGAATGAAGGGTAGGAGAAAGAAAATGATACAGACTAGACAGCCAGTCTGAATTTATTAAAAATCTGAATTTTTTTTTCCAGTGGTACTTCTGACAACTGTACTTATGCCAACTGTAAACCAAGATACTAAGCCGTTCAGTCAACATATATTAAATGTTTTCAATGGAAAAGTACTGTGCTAGACACCATAAAAAAAGAGACCCAAAACTCTGAAATGGGCATAAGTCAATAAAATTAGAGAAGCTTCAAAAGAGTGTGCTAAGCATGCGAGTTATTAAAAGTGCTTTAACACAGTAAGATAATGATTTTAAGTTTTTTTCTTTTTTTTTTTTTTTGAAGAAATCTGATTTACCTCAAAATTTTCAGAGAATAACACATCTCGAATACCTGGTCTGTCAGAGCATGGATTCCCTATGAGCACGTCCCTGGTCTCACTCAACTCTCCTCACCCCACATGCCACTTGCTTGCAACAGAGTGTGATTGTCTCCCTCATTCAGGGGTGCCCATGCGCTCCTCCCAACAAGCTGACCACAGAAAGCTGGCAAGAGAATTGGAAAAAGGAAACTTGTCAGCACTCTTACCCTATGAGACAAGCAGCACAGTTTATAAACACCAGCTCTGACCTCCCTGAAAATCCCAAAGCAGCAGTAAATGGAGAAAAAGACATCACATATACATACTGTCAAGCCCAGTAAAAGCAGAGTGACCAATGGCTGGGCAAAATCAAGAGAATTCATTCCTTTTTCAGACGCCCACTGTCCAAGCTGAAGCAGGACAACGGCTGAAAAGTCCCTGCTCTTAAGGTACTAAATGCATCCGGTTTATCGCCACTATCTCAGGTTTTCTCTTTATGTTATGCTAATGGGTTTACAGCCCAGTCCACTATGAAATGTTTTAAAGATTTAAGATAACGTGCCAAGAACTTCTCTCAAACCCTGAGTGTGATAAAGTCCTCCTGAGCACGCTAAAGTCCTCCTGAGCACCTCCTTCCTGTATCTCCTGCCTCACCTCTCAGGAGTCCCAGGTTTCTACAAAATTCACCATTCCCAAACACACCACTCAACCTCGACCTCTGCTTTCTCTCTTCAGTCAACCTGAAACCCCCTCTCCCTCTCTGGAAATTAGTCATCCTCCAGGTACAGCTCAAATATCACCTGCATGCCCATGCTACCCCCATGGAATCTCGCCAGCCCTTTCCGTGAGCTCAGAACACCTGGCTGGCCCCTGAGTTGCAGCACTGGCTTCATTCCGCCTGAGCTCCCCTCCTCCCAGTCTCTCCAGGGCTGGTCTTACCTGGCGGCATCACCCACCACCCTCCTGCTCTCACTCTCATCACAAGCAGAAGCAGATGCTCCATATGCACTTGCTGATTAAAAGATTCCAACAAGGAGCTCCCGAGACTGACCCAGGCCCTATCTCCCTGGGAAATGTCCTTTTTACTGCAACACCTATCCTGGAAAACGTTCTTTTTCAGTGGTGCTCTCCATGTTCAAACACACCACCAACTAGGCTCCTGCCCAAGTCAATCCTGCTGGGCTACACTGCCAAAAAGAATGGGATCATGTGCAGTCATGCTTGGGCCGACAAAACCACCTTGGCAGGGCACCGGGAAGCTAATAGGTTTGTGCATGCCAAGGCTGGGTGGAGGCCTTTCCTCCTCTGAAGTCTGTTTAATGAGGAGCTCTAGAAGACCTGCTGCCTTCCTCACCAGGACTTCAAAGATGAGAATGGAGCACAGAAGCTTTTCTCTGGAAGGAAACCAGAGAGTAATACGGAGGATGAGTTCAGCCTTTTTCCACTTCAGGGTCAGCTGTCTCATTTGAGCCAAGTGCAGAGGAGAATCCTACGTGAACCAGGTGGTCACCTCCATGTCAAATGCTTAATGTTTCCTCAAAAATAAAGGCCTCAACTCACGTTCAGTGACAGCTTGCAAATGCTCAGAGAGCTTTTAAGCACCCTAGGTTTTTCCTACCTGGGGTTGCTGACCTCACTGGCATAGTATCTAAGCATTCACTGCAGGACAGCACCACCTGGTGAGCAGTCATAGCTCAAATACCTGAGGTGTCCTAGGATAGGCTCATAAAAGGGAGAGGGCCCTGGCAGCCATGAAGGGAATCGTCTCCCAGCTGCTGCGTGTCCTTTAGCCAAGGCTCTTTTCATAAAGCACACCTCAGCAGAAAAGGCAGGCTTCTCATCTGTCCTAACCACAACCGACAGATAAATATAAAAGAATACCCATCACAGCCCACAGCATGCCCGCTCTCAGACCCTCTGTCCAGAGGACCCACAGACATGTGTTCACCCTTAAAATTAAATCTAATAGGTCATGTACACATGCACCTTCTCCCTGGCCTCTTCCCCACCCATTTATAAAACCACTTCTGTAAGGGCAGCGGGTGAAAAGTCCTTTCTGAGTTTAAAACTACAAAGGCACCACTATAAATTACAGTGTCGCAGAGGTCCCATGGGAGGCAGCTTCCTGAGAGGAGGAGGACTGTCCCTCCAGCCTGTTTTTGTGGTGATGTGATCACAGAGTTTAGATTCTGTATTTGGTCCTACATGGGTTTTAAGGGCCTTCTGCAGTAATTACAGAAAGGAAAAAGGAAGGTCAATGAGACCGGAGCAACTCTGAGTGGTGTCTGCGAGGTTACTTATAACTACAGCCAGGTCACCTACCAGACTCAGAAAAGAAACTATGCCTTGAGTTTTTGTTGTTGTTGTTCTTCAGAATCAATTTTAGATTAGCAAAAAAAATCATGAACTTTTACTAACCTGTTTTGGCATTCCTCTGTTCAAAGGCCTTTTTCAATGCACAGCCAATATTTGGGTCCATGATAGTTTTGCAAAAATGAGCATTACACCACAAAATATTCTCAAGCAAAAGATGACAAAATACACTTGTTGTGGAAATTTTTATGAACTAAAACACAGGAGGTAAAAGTCTAGCTGAATGAGGACTTCAACTGCCCATTGATAGCTTTTTATTTTCAGATCTAATTTCCCACTGACTCAAAAAAAAAAAAAATTCATAGAGAATTATCACAGTGTACCTACTGGTCATCACTTTCTTGCAAGGATGAACAGAGACACTTCAAAGTTGTTTATCCCATAGAAGTATTCATTAAAAAAATTTTTTTTTCTTCCAAAACCCTTCTAAAAGCCTAGCATTGGGCCTCCTCAGACCACAAGACAAAGGCTACTGTATGTGTTCATGGACCAAAGTGCATCTCCATCAGTTCCATGTGACGGTCCAAATCCTCCACTTGTAAAGGGTTCTGCAGCAATGACCGTAAAGTGAGGCCCAGAGAGGCTAAACTACGTGGCGAAGGCCACTCAGGCACAGCCAGAGCTAGTTCATGAGGACGTTCGAGTCACACTCAACTGGAGCAGAGTGGAAACAATACCACAGAAATCCTAAAGCAAATAAAAGCAGCTCTTCTTTCATTTTGAAAGCTGCTGCTTAATAGAAGGCAGGCTTACATAACAGAGGAAGACGGGAGAACTTCGTGGGGATCTGTCCTACATTTGGGGCTTGAGGAGCAAAAGGCATTAAACACACCGATTTCCATCCCAGATTGGCTTCCATTTCCATGAGACAGGTGTCCTGCTAGTACTGTTATACCTATCAACCTCCCTGGGGCAGCTTTCCATCCCACGGCCCATGAGAAGCTCCTAGGTAGCTTAAAAAATTCTGAGGCCTGGAAGTAGTGAAACAGGATCTCTGGGGATAGGGCCCAAACTTCACTGGTGCTTTTCAAACCTGACCAGCTGATTCTAATGTGTAGCCAGGATTGAGAATCACTGCACCTGACCAACTAGCTGTTTCTTTTGTCTTCCTGATGGGATCAGGTGGGAAATATTTATGCCTCAAAAAAAGGGGGAGAGAGCTAAAGAAAGTTAGAGTGAACAATTATTTGCAAGTGATGATCACTCGGGTGGGTGCAAGTTGTGGCCCAAGGAAGAAGGCAGGAGGAAGGATAGACTGGGCCATTCCCTAAGTGAGCCCTGCATGGCACTGTCCATTGAGTCCGGCTGCTTTGGCAGGTGGAGGCAGGGGCAAGAAGTAGCAATTCAAAGCTCACCTGTAAAGAATATTTCCATTAAGTGTTAACTCTGTGAGAATTGATATGATGGTTTTCAGATGTGAGGAATTTACTGACCCACTGTATTTGCCACTATGATTTCACCTGTTATTCAAATAGTCCTAACAGTTATTTTTGTTTTTTACTTAGGACCCATATTTTCTTGCTCACCAAGTCTGACAAATCACAAGTCATTGAAGGATAACTACTTAGAGCCACAGTGCCTGAAGAACAGAGCTTTCTTTGGTATAAAACTAGCTGTTGCACATGCAGGTTGAATGGGACCTTCATTTTATGAGCATCGTTATGTTTTCAGATGTGACAGAGACTGGATAAGAAAGAACCTGGGGTGAAGACTGCAGGAACACCGGCTCCAGCTGAGGTGCTAATCCAGCTGTCACTCCCAAGTCCCTTCATTCTTAGGGCTACCTGCTTGCTACCTGCTCTTCTGTAACAGAGACAATCACAAGACTGTTGAGTTTAGATGCCTTTTCCCCAATTTCTGTTTATCATGGGAAGGAAATTCATCTGCTTTGCCTTACCCACCCTTTACCAATGTTTCCCAAAGTGTGTCCCATCAGTACTAGAGCAACCTCGGCTGTTCCTGGGCACCTCCCCTCCCCCGCAGCCCATGGGCAATCACACCTGGAGCCCAAGAGACTGCATTTGCATCAACCACACAACTCAACGATCTGTGAACCAGTCACAAACTTACAATTCCTCCTTTGAAATGAGTTCCTCAGCTGTGCTGATACATCTGTCCCTAACCTCTGCCACTTCCTAACTGGTGATTCACAAACTCATCCATGCCCACTTACTTGAATCCTACTTGCATCCCACCCTCCTGGCTCCAAGCCCCTGACTTAAATCACTCTTCTCTGAACTCACACAAGATGCAAAAGCACCACTTATAATTGAGAGTTTCAGGTCTGTTAGTCCTCTCTCCCAAAGACAGCTAGGCTTCTTTTTTTTTTTTTTTTTTTTTTTTTTTGAGACAGAGTTTCACTCTTGTTACCCAGGCTGGAGTGCAATGGCGCAATCTCGGCTCACCGCAACCTCCGCCTCCTGGGTTCAGGCAATTCTCCTGCCTCAGCCTCCTGAGTAGCTGGGATTACAGGCACGCGCCACCATGCCCAGCTGATTTTTTTTTGTATTTTTAGGAGAGACGGGGTTTCACCATGTTGACCAGGATGGTCTCGATCTCTTGACCTCGTGATCCACCCGCCTCGGCCTCCCACAGTGCTGGGATTACAGGCGTGAGCCACCGCGCCCGGCCACAGCTAGGCTTCTTGATGACAGGGTCCATGACATCCCACTGAACCTTTTGCAGGGCTCAGTACATTTAGACTGTAAGAACAGTGGCTGACAGACAGGCCAAGCCCTCGCTCAGTCCTGGGTCTTCCTCCATTCAGCTTCTTCTCATTTTCCTTGAGAAAACTTTCATTCTTTCCTTCCTGTGACAAAATTGATTCAGGCAAGAGTAGAAAAAAAAGGCGGGGAGGCCTATCCAAGACAGAAGTCATATGCTGCAACCTCAGCTTATCCACAAAATACCAGGAACCAAGATGCAAGGAAGTCTTCAAAGCTGCCGATATCTGGGGCTCAGTTCCTGCGCAATGCAGAAGGGAACTTCCCAATCCTCACACCGACCCCCAACACCCCTTCTAAGGCACTCCCTCAGTGCCCTCCCACTGTCTTTCAGATTCAATTCTAACAGGAGGGAATATGTGATTTTCCCGGCCACTGTAAGGTAAAAAGAATGGAGGGGCAGTGTGATATGGGCACAATGACAGCCCTGAGAAGCTGTGACTGACAGGAGAGAATTTATAAAATTCAAAACAGTAGATTACAGGCTGTTACAGTTTTAATAGCCTTTCAATCCCCAAATGCATCCAAGGACACCAAAACAAAGCATTTTAAAGCAGAACAATACTTGAAAGATGACCCTGAGCACCAAGAAAAGGTTACTTTGCTCCCAGTGTGTTTCTGCCACTATATCCAGGAGAGATGTCCACATGGCTAACCTCAGTCCACAAGAACCAAATGTCCTCAAAAATAGGAAGGGGACTGTATCCAACTGCAATGTGCTGTTTCCGTGTGGTCTCTAACACCAACAGAAACCAGGATGGGTTTTCTCAAAAGCACTGCCATTCTGATCTGGAATGTTCCATCTGAGTACTCTCCCGTTCCTTATTCTCATCTACCTTTTCTTATGGTATCTTTGAGTAAAGCTCCTCACCAGATGATAAACTTCTTTGAGCAGATGGACTACGCCTTTGAATTGATGACATGCCCCTACCTCCTCCTAAGTCACCAATGAAGCCTGATTAATCTCTGCTTCTTCAATCTGCCCAGACACCTAGGGCCATATGACCTTAGGAAACAAGGCATTTGAATTAGAGTGTTTTTAAACAGCCTAAGCATTTCTATACTCTCTAAACGTATTAAGTTTCCAACTTTTTTAAAGATGATAAAATTGGTTTAAGTGTTAGGATTCTGTGAGCAATGAGCCAAGCTTCAGTTGACTTTGGAATTTAATCTGTATGACAAACAGAGCCAAGGAATAAATTCTGCACTGTTATGTGTGCTTATGTGAACCACAAAGGCTAGGGTGAGTTTTCCCTTGATCTAAAGCAACCTAACCTCAAAGATCTTTAATCATTCATCTACTCAGAATGGATTATTGGGTGATTTCATATTTATTTCTTTTTTCCAAAGCTCAGCTTCCTGATTTATATATTTATTTCTTGATAAGTTATAGCACCCAAAAGCACCAATTTGCTTTTCATGAATGTAAATTCTTTCCTGAATTTAACTGACAGTTCTGTAATAAAGGGTTATAATTTACACTTCAGAAAAATTGAGGAATTTGTTTTGTCTAAATTGAATTTAAAACTATATCCACTTCCAGATTCACATAACCAATCCTCAGTTTTCAAGCTCATCACTGAATATATCCCTAAGATCTGTTCACTTGCAAGCAGGCTAAAAATGAGCTACCAGGACACTAAAAACCTCTCTATTTAGGTCTAGGCTATCAGGACATTCAGGCCTGGCCTGTTGTTTTTAATGTCCACAGCCCTTCTTTCCCCACAGCTGAAGCCTCTTAACCCTCGCCCCCACACTCCCCTTGCTGGCTCAACCCAGCGGGAATTTCTAAGATAGAGATTTAAATAGCTCTGGCTAAGCTGCTCTTGCTGCTTAATGGCAGGCCCTGACCTTGTATCTAATAACTTGGCTTCTTGTTCCTGCATTCCACAGGCCTAACCCACCCTCTAGCTCAACTCTGATAAGGAGCCTGAGATTCTCTCTGGATAGCCTGCTGCTAACACCTCCGGGGCTGACGTGCTGCCTTGCTCTTAGCAATCTTCCAGGAGACTCGAGGTCATTCTGCATCCAAATGGCCAGAACAGGTCAGGGGACATGGGTGCCAGTGTCAGGCTACTCATATACCCTGAGCCACCAGCCCTTTCCTCCTGACACGTGCTCTCCCTCCCAGCTGCGGAGGCTGGATCTGCTGCCCTCAATTCTGAGCTGGGGGTTCCAGGCCCAGTACCTCAGGACTCATGAGGAAATGACTCATCACAAAAAGCTGAGGGTCCTCTGGCCAGAACACAAGTCACGAGATCTGGATCTTAGCTGTCAAAAAATGTCAAAAAAACAAAGCCTCAACAACAAACTGAGAAAACAGGATCTCTCTCTTTCTGGAGAATTCAACACCCCAGTGTTGGTTTTAGGGATGCTGAAGCCACTGAACCCTCCTTTACTAGTTTTAAGGTGAAAACTGAGGAAAAGCAGAGAAATGCCCGCAACTGTGTCTTCTCTGAGTAGAGGAGAATCAGAGAGCTTTTTATCAACCACTTCAAGGCTAACACCCATGGTTACCGAAATTACAACTATGAGATAACTTCTGTCCTAGGAAATCAAGTCATCTTCTAAAACAAAGCTAAATGTGTATCTGCATTTTTATCAATATTCTTTAAAGATCCAGACAACTTAAAAATCCTAGGTGGTTAAACTGTCTTACACTTTAGAGTAACATAAAAAACAGCAGCCTTCATTTTCTGGTCAGGTTATTTTTGTAATACCTCTTAAGTTCAACAAAATTCTAGCATTTTTTGCTTTCTACTACTATTTTGTAGAAAGACGTTCTCCCCTTGGCTTCATATCTTTGCTTTTTGATCTTGTTAACAATCCAGAAAATTCCAACCTTGCAATTTTTTTTCCCACCCCTGGGAAGGAATAACACACAGTCACTTAAAAACCAAAAGCAGTGTCAACACTTCCTCAATGACACAGCTGCTGTGAGTGACCAGTGAATAAAACGGTTTTTGCAGGGAAATGGTGACTTCTCTCCAAAATAATTCTCAACGTTATTGAAGACATGATCAAAAAGAGTACAGAGGCCTGGTACAGTGACTTAACACCTACAATCCCAGCACTTTGGGAGGTCAAAGCAAGATCACTGCTTGAGGCCAGGAGTTCAAGACCAGCCTGGATAACACAGCAAGACCCCGTGTCGCTATGTTAAAAACACAGGCATGGTGGCACATAAGTGCAGACCTAGCTACTTGGGAGGCTGAGGCAGGAAGGATCACCTGAGACTAGGAGTTCAAAACTAGCCTGGGCAACACAGTAACACCTTATCTCTACACAAAATTTTTTAAATTAGCTGGGTATGGTGGCATGCACCTATAGTCTCAGCTACTCAGGAGGCTAACATGGGAGGACTGCTTGAGCCCAGGAGTCCAAGGTTACAGTGAACTATGATTGTGCCACTGCACTCCAGCCTGATTGACAGAGCAAGACTGTCTCTAAAAAATAATAATAGGACATTAGTTAAGCAAGAAATACTAAGTACTTATGATAAAGCACAGTTAAAATACTCAAACTATAAGGACACCTGATTTCAAGAGAAGGTGCCGAGACAGGAAAGAACCCACTCTGCACGCCATGAATAACATGGAACAATGCACATGTTCCATGTTACAAACCTTCATAAAAAAACTGAGGCATATGATCCAACAATCTCATTTCTGGGTATTTATCCAAAAGAATTGAAGTCAGGATCCCAAAAAGCTATTTGCACTCCCTATGTTCACTGCAGCATTATTCACAAAACGAAAATGTAGAAGCATCCTAAATATTCACTCACTGATGAATGGATAAACAAAATGTGATATATATATATATACACACACAACACACACACACACACACACACACACACACACACACACACACAATGGATTATTCAGCCATGAAAAGGAAATCCTGATACATGATACAACATGAATGAACCTTGAAGACATTATGCAAGAAAAATAAAACAGTCATAGAAGGACAAATAGCACATGATTCCACTCTTATGAGGCATATAGAATAGTCAAACTCAGCCAGGCACTGTGACTCACACCTGTAATCCCAGCACTTTGGGAGGCTGACTTGGGAGGATCACTTGAGGACATGAGTTCGAGACCAGCCTGGGCAACACAGCAAGATCTCCATCTCTACAAAAAAATCTATAAATTAGCTATGTATAGCAGCACATGCCTTTAGTCTCAGCTGCTTGGGAGAATCACTTGAGCACAGGAGTTTAAGTTATAGTGAGCTACAATCAAGCCACTATACTCTAGACTGGGCAACAGAGTGAAAGACCCTGTCTCAATAATAATAATCATCAAAAATAAATAGTCAAACTCACAGAAGTAGAGCAGAATGGGAGAGTTGTTTAAAGAATATAAAGTTTCATTCACAGAGGATAAAATCGTTCTAGAAGTCTGCTGCATAACATTGTGCTTATAAGTTAACAATACTGTACACTTAAAATTTTGTTAGGAGTTAGATCTCATGTGTTTTGTTTTTTATCCATAAGGTTTTAAAAATATGAGTATATAAACTCAAGGATTTAGATTACATTGGCTTCAAAGTTCTTGTCCTTTCTACTGTTTCATTTTGT